AGGTGCCACTTTTACGACCCTTTTACCGTGACTAGCTGATTCATAAGTACCACCTTTTTACGATCCTGTTACCGTGACTAGCTGATTCGTAGGTACCACCTTTTACGACCCTGTTACCGTGACTAGCTAATTCGTAGGTACCACCTTTTACGACCCTGTTACTGTGACTAGCTGATTTGTAGGTACCACCTTTTTGCGACCCTGTTACCGTGACTAGCTGATTCGTAGGAACCCCCTTTTTACGACTCTATTATCATGACTAGGTGATTCGTGGGTGCCACCTTTTTACGACTCTGTTACCATGCCTAGGTGATTCGTAGGTGCCACCTTCTTACGACTCTGTTACCATGACTAGGTGATTCGTAGGTGCCACCTTTTTATGGCCCTGTTACCGTGACTGGTAACTTTGATGGTTTAACAAAAGATGCGACTTGTTTTGGTGAATAATATGCTGTTTGCGAAATTGAAATACACCAACTAGTGAAGCAACTTCTGTCAATCAAATGATGCCGATTTTCCGCCCATCGTTACGCATGGCACTCGCCAAATTTCAAATGAGCTTACAGATAAGGGTCAAGTTTGACGGACTATGGCCCTACAACCAATTGACATAGATGTTCTTTATGGGCAAGTTAAAAATTCCATCGTTCTAAGAAAGCCTTTGTTTTTTACGCAACTATAAAGATGAAACATCAGGTTTTGCAATGAGCTTGACCTATATCTATACACTTGAAATCATTCATTTCGACCGACTACATTCAACACTAATGAAACTCTTTATTTCCTTCCCAGAAAAAGGCCACCTTGGGTAGTACACTGGGAGGCACATTATTGTTCCTGGTCGGGGGCTGTAGAACCATTCCGTCCCACCGCGGGGTGTCTACCAGCTGTCAGTCTAACGACACGGGAGGGATCCCCTGGCCGATCCGGATGCCCTTGGAGGAAAACATCGTATCACCTTGGTGCCCTCTCTGGCGCGGGAGGCCTTCTGACCGGCGCAGGTCGCAGTTGACCTCGGGTCGACGCATGAACCCCCAACAACGCAACATCACTGATCGCCCGCAGCCAGCCCAGAAGTGAGCAGACAGTTCCCTAATCCTCATCGAACACTGCCCTTGGCTCGCTGACAGATTCGTCCCCGGAGGCCGGGGTGCCTGGATAAGACTCCAAAAAGCCCTTCGTGCCCCTGGACCCTCCAATCGAACCTTTGATCGTCGGATCCGGTGGGCCCTCCAGGCTCTCCGAGCCTCCTTGAACGCCGCCTCTGGTTGACTTAGGGCCCCTTGCCAACACATGGCCCCGTTAGGCGTTGCCCCCCCCCCCCTCCCAAGCAATGTAAATCGCTAGCTCCTGTTTTGTCCCTGCTCAGGAAATGGCCTCTCAGGCCCATGCCGCCACGAGGCCGACTATGCGTTACTGGTGGTCTGAGTGACATATGGGCCCTTATCGACCCAGGGGCCCCTGATCAGGGCGCAGAGCCTTCCGGCTGGAATTAGAGTTCCCGGCCCTGCGGGTCGCGCCCCTGAACCTACGACCTCCGGCCTCGAGGCCTTTCGGGTCCTTAATCGTGGGTCCCGAGTGGCCCTTTGGGTCTCACAGAACCTAAGGGGCTAAGGGGAAGCGGGGGGGGGGGGGGAGGCACGTGTCCAAGCCCAGCGCTTCCGGGTTTGGGCATCGAATTTTTCATGTTCGAGGCTGCCGACTTGCGTTCCGCTCAAAGTTTGAAGCCACTGGCTTCGGGTTCGTTTTCACGTGATTTAGCTCAAGGGCATTGACTGAAATGGCTATTCAGTAGGCTTGCCCACTTTCATTAAGTTGGAGAACTAACAGATGTGGCAGCGTTTGTCGTTATTTCCTTCTGAGCCTATCGGTTGATCGACCTAGGTCAGACGAAATCTGATCTGTAGTACAAATTTTCCGAAAAGATGTCCTCGGGCATGAATGCACACAAAGGGGAAGACGCATGTATTGAGTTTCTGTTCGACTACTCCATTTCAAAACTATGCAACGTTTGTTTTCCATCCGTAGAAAGACAACTTTGCCAGGCTCGGATAAACCCAGGTCACGATAGGTCACGTGATATTTGCACAAGCCCTGCACTTTCAGCTTGTCACGGCCAATGACTGATCGGACTGGGATTGCGCTGGCGTGTGGATTTAGATCTTATTTCGAATCGGACCTCGCGTCGCTTGCATGCTTTTCTCCGGGGACGGTTTTGCTGTCGAAAATTGTGCAAATGGATTTAATATTTATTTTGTTACGACACGCACCTGACCACGAAATAAAAATGTGCGCGTTAACGGGTCAAATAACGTTGTCTGTCGACGAACAGATCAAGGCTGGGGATGCCCGTGCTATGTATACATATATATATATATATATATATATATATATATATATATATATATGCATAATGCATAGATGAATGCTAAGATATCCTGCAGGAGGAGAGAAGCTGGTCGAGCAAAATCCTTTTTAATGCGCAATCTGCAAGGTTTCCTTTTATAGAGTGAAACTCATTAAAACAAGGCTTTGGGTATACAGTTCTCAATCACAGTGCGCCAGAACAGAAAACTTACCAGGTTTGATAAGCCCGTGGGTACCCACAAGGAATAGGCAAATGGGTAAACGGTCTGTTTAGATTTGAGAAAATTGGGGGTGTGGACACCAGCATGAGTAAGACTTCCACGAAATACTATTTAGATGTTTCAAATATATCCTACACAATCTTACTAACGCGCCTGTTTTTATCATTATTAGCTCAACGCACGTTTTTCGCAACAATCAGTGGAGACCCCAAGTTTGTAAGCAAAGTAATACAAAAATCCCATTTCCTTTTGAACATTGATTCTGAACTATTTCATAAGATGCATTCCTGAGATCAATTTCCGCGCTTATCAGTAGTCGTTGTGTGAGTGCTGCCCCAACGTCCGCCCGTAGAAATCCGCGTCATCGGCGAAAGTCTGCCGATAAAACTTCGTGTGCCACAATGCCCAGCACGCTCAGTACTGCCTTCTGACGTCACCTCAACGTAGACGGCAAGTCTGCGGATAAAACTTCCCGTCCCACAATACTCCGCACGCTCAGTGCTGCCCTCTAACGTCACCTCAACGTAAACGTGTCTGCCGCCACATACCGCAGGACTTCCCAGCCACAAGCAAACGGCAAGTGCATTAAGCGACTCAAAACCAACTCGCCACTGATGAGTGAAACAGAAGGTGGGCGCTGGAACCAGCTGAATTATTGGGACGGGCAGAACCTTTCATGGACCCTTCTTATAATGTAGAGGTTACGAACCACAAACATCAAAGCGTGGGTGAGGTGTAGGCGGAACTAATTACGAATGAGTAACGGGTTGGTGTAGGACAGAGGACTTCACTGGTTGGTTAACATGTAGGCGTCCACATCATTTGGGTAACAGGGTGGGTCGGTGAGGTGTTGATGAAATATGTACACTGTTGTGGGTGAGCCTTCACAGGATGTCGGGTAGATTATCCAGGAAATACTACACGTTAATGCTCACACTTCATTTAGAAAAAACAGCGCTTGCACACTTGCTTCGCTGCCTTCTTTCTAAAACGTCGTTTTATTTGTCCACCTTTTGCAAACGGATTCACGTCCCTAAGTGCTCTGAACGCCGAGATATGGCACAAAACGGGGAAAAACCGTCGGAAACGGCAGAACCACGTTGCTAGTTCGTGCGCACGTGACACGTGATACTTATGACCGTGTGCTTTGCACGTGATTGCCCGTTCCATTTGCTATCATAGCACGCCACAAACGAGTGGTATCGCATCCTGGGTGCCGAGATGCGGCACAAAACGCGTCAACCCGCTGGAAATAACAGAACCCATCTTTCTACGCGTTGCACGCTTGTCCTTGGGTGCATGCTCCCCATCATCCGTTGATCATTTGGGGGAGCAATGTTGTTCTCGCCAGGTGGCCCTCTGCCGTCCTAAAGTGGGAGGCGCTGCCATCCTGCGGTCGGCTGGGAGGCGAGCGATGTGCAGAGGTGATCGAGTGGGAGGGAGACGAGGCTAGAGCGTGGCCGATGGTGCCGTCATGCGCCGGTGCCGTTCGGAGGGCCCGGCTCTGGGATCCAGCTGTGTTCGTCCACAGGAACGCTCGCACGAAACACCGGCACGAGGATAGAACACCGACAGCATTACTGCATCTTGTAGCGCTGAAATGTGATGATGCTGCGCCAAATTATGCGGCGTAGGGGTGTATCTTCGTACGTGCCTTCTGCCAGCTTTGGTGCCACGCTGGTTTAGTTTTAGACGACTTATATGTCATAAATAACCGCCTATTTGTATGCCAAGTTTATCAACCGACTGCGGAGAGACCCATTCGTAGCATAAGCAAATGATCGAGGCATGAGCACATTCCACAATATGCCCCGGTACATGTTGGATTGTTTACTTTTCATCGGGCCTTGAGATTTAAAGCAAACAATTCCGCGCACTAAGGTTCCTGGACTTCTTTCGATTCCGATCAAACAAGGCTTTTTGGCCCCGGCGTCGCTCCCGCGCCCAAAATCATGCAGTGCACCGAATCTCCGGTCTCAACACTGCGTCTGTAGTCAGGTCGCAGGAAAAACATGCCCAGGCACGTAGAGAAAGATGCTGCATCGCCATCCATTTACGGCCCGTCCCCGGTTTATGGGAGGCGGGACATGGCAGGCCTGCGATCATTCTGGAACTTGACATGCTAGATATAGTATATGGTCGGAAGCATCCCCATGGGTTTTCATGACCTCCTTTGCGCGCACATCGCAACGGCGGACGGCGAATGGCGCAAGTAGTGCAAGTTACGCAATATTGTCCATCGTCCAGGTCCCCCCCCCCTCGAGAGCCAGAAAAACCACACAGCAAAAGGGCTAAGGCAGGCAGCACATTTAATGAAATACTTCTGTTGAACAGCGCGCCACTCGACTCATCTTCTGTTGACCAGTGTGACATCCGACTTATCCTCGTCCCGCCGGCGATACAAAAAATATCCCAGGCACGAACCTCACTGTGTAATTTGACACTGTTCCACCGTGCACGTGACACTGACAAAAGCCACGAGTCGGCGCTCTGTAGCCGGCGCCTCCGCGTTCTCGTGGGCTGGTACACTAGGCTGGCTGAACAGTGCCGACAAAGTAGCCGGAGTTGGGCCGGTCGCCCACAGACGCGAGTCCGGCAATGTCGGTATATTACGCTTAACGAGCGCCAGCCCGCCTCACCTGGCTATGCCCGCCTGGCCAACGCAGGTCTGGCGCGAATGTATCGTGTTACTTGGACAGGCCAAATCAACGGGCAAACGAGCAGCCGGCGGCCCCCCGACCTGCGGCGACCACTGCGGTCGACACGGCCCGCGGGGGCGCGGCGGCGCGCGGCGGCGCGACCGGCACGCGGTCCGGTCCCCGAGTCCGTCCGCTAGTGTCACGGCACCAGCCGGGGCCCGGGCTGGTGCCACCCGCCGGCTGGCGGAGGCCGCGGCACGCACGCTCCGATCCGATCCGGCGCCCAGCACCACTCAGCGGAAGGCAATCAGACCGCACTGCACCAGCTTCTGGATCTTGGCCGCGATGTCCGGGTTCTTCATGTGTCTGCAATGGTCACGGTCAGTTGTAAAAAAATCAAGACCTATTCGTTTCGCACCAGCTGCAGTAAGAGACACGCCGTTACCGCGTTAGCATAAACACAATGACTGGCACTTAAGCCCATCCTGTCATGAAAACCCAACATGGCACGCCCAATGTTACCCGCCTGAACCCCTCACGTGCACCCGACAGTTCGTTTCCGGAGTTTAACAGCTTGCACATCTACCTGTGTCGCCTTCTGGGACGTGCGGGGAGAGAGGTCAAAGACAGACGACGATTGACAAGTACGGTGAGACAGATGGCGGGGGCTACTAACGATTATTGCCCAAATTGTACCAAACCCGGGGTTTGAACAAAATGGGGTAAAAGAGTCCGATGGCCTAATGGAAAGCTGCCTGCAAACTTGTTACTCCTGATGGCACTATGAGGCAGCCTATCACCAGCCATTCTTCAATCCCCAATTTGCTGTTATGAGCACCAAAAATATGAACATAAACTTACCACGTCTAAACAGAGCCTATCATGATTATTTTAGCATTTACGGTTATCGCACTCCCGAAGGAGTTCGATGCAACACGTGTAATAAAATAAGCTATCCCCCACTTTAAAAAAGGGAAAAAGTTTTCATCCCTAAGCCACCGGCATCCTATACACGGCCGCACGGCTACCGTATGGTACCAGTACACACCGCACCACATTTCAGCGTCCATGAGCAGAGCATTACAACAAGAGAACTGAGAGCAGCAGGAGGCTTGCCATAACCATCGAGACGAGAACCAGCCCGGGGCAACACCACGGTGGTCCCAGGATGACTCTCAGCAGCCTGACCATACACAAGGTAACGCAATGTACTCCGCCGTCACTGCACGGGCACCGCTCCACCGGACATCCCACGCGGCAAATGACGGGATCACATGGATAGATGATCATAACAGCCGGTCTAGCCCGTGCTTTCGATGGCGAGACATGCAGGCGTCGGTGACTCGGAAGCCGACCGGCCGCGGCCGGTGTACGCGCTGGTGACTGGGAGAGGCGTGGGGAAGCGTGGGACAAATAAGCACGACCGTGTCCGCGTCCGTAAGTTGCAAGTCCAGGTCAGATTCCGTTCGCCCTACGCCCCCGTTGCAAATCAATTTGAACCGACCCATTCGAAAGCACTTGGCTTGCATGACGGGCCAGACTATCAGCCTGTCTTTATTCTGCTCTGGAGTGTTCACTCACATTCTAACGTACACATATCCAGGACCAAATCTGATCAGTCGACTGCCGCCTGTGAACTATTCATATGCTTACCCGTAAGCGCTAAGTGCGCGCTCGGCATATTCTTATTATTCAATATTTATTCCAGAACGAGCCCGTCGCGCCGGAGAAAAAGGTGCCACTTTTCAGATGCTATGGCGGAGATGATTAGGACCCCAGGCCAGGGACCAACGCGTGTACATAACGTCACGTACTCTCTGGCGGCGTTGGGGTTGTCCTGCATCTGCTCCAGGATCAGCCGCATGCTGGCATCGCTCAGGATGTTCTGGACCTCGGGATCGGAGAGCGCCCGCTTCTTCACTTGGTCCGGGTCGTTGTCCATCGACACCATGCACTCCCTGTAGCCGTTGATGGCCTCCTGAAGACGTCAGACCAGTCAGCCGCGCGTTCGTAGCTTCAGGTACCACGTCGGAAGGCAGCGCCTGTGACGGCCGCGTTCGGCGCGAACTGGCCGGCCGCCGCGACCGACAGACGGCACGACACCGGCCCAGTCAATGTCATTCCCACCACGACACCGAGCCAGTCAATACCACTCCCACCGCGACACCAGCCCCGTCAATGCCACTCCTACCACGACACCGACCCAGTCAATGCCACTCCCACCGCGACACCGGCCCAGTCAATGTCACCCACCACGACACCGACCCAGTCAATGCCACTCCCACCGCGACACCAACCCAGTCAGTGCTACTCCCACCGCGACACCGACCCAGTCAACGCCACTCCCACCACGACACCGGCCCAGTCAATGCCACTCCCACCGCCACACCGACCCAGCCAATGCCACTCCAACCGCGAAACAGTCACCCGAGCTGACCGGCAGCAGCGGCCGACAGACGGCACGACACCGGCCCAGTCAACGCCACCCCCACCACGACACCGGCCCGGTCAATCCCGCTCCGCGCGCGACACCGGCCCAGTCAATCCCGCTCCCAGCGCGACACCGGCCCAGTCAATGTCACTCCCGCCGCGACACCAACCCAGTCAATGCTACTCCCACCACGACACCGGCCCAGTCAATGCCACTCCTACCGCGACACCAGCCCGGTCAATGCCACTCCCACCGCCACACCGACCCAGCCAATACCACTCCCACCGCGACACAGTCACCCGAGCTGACCGGCAGCAGCGGCCGACAGACGGCACGACACCGGCCCAGTCAATGCCACTCCTACCGCGACACCGGCCCAGTCAATGCCACTCCCACCGCGACACCGACTCAGTCAATGCCACTCTCACCGCGACACCGGCCCAGTCAATGTCACTCCCCCCGCGACACCAACCCAGTCAATGGTACTCCCACCACGACACCGGCCCAGTCAATGCTACTCCCACCGCGACACCGGCCCAGTTAATCCCGCTCCCAGCGCGATAGTCGCCCCAGCTGACCGGCAGCTGAGACGGTTGTCCAGGTCCCACACCGACTCAAGCACGACCGGTCTACTGTACCTGGTTGTTTTCGTCTAGTTCGATAGCTTTCTGGAAGGCCTCCATAGCCCTGTCAAACTGATGCATTCCCTTCAGCAGCGTGCCTTTCCGGATGTGTCCCTTGACTGCAAAAGGACGCGTCGTGGTGAGAGCGCTACAACACATGCATTGTTGTGCCATCAGTAACACTACCATTGATGAGAATGGCACATAAGCGCATCAATGCGGTGTTACTCAATTCCACAGAAACATTCAGAATGCGACAGCGTGTTGCCTGGCGTATGTTTACAGACAAACTAAGCCCGCAAAGACCACTGCACAACGAAACTGGCACACACGTGCTGGGAAATGCGTCGCTGTAAACAAGCACCTGGTCAAAATCCTTGAGCGTGCTCTAATTTAGCCGTGTTCCACCTGCAGTATTGCGGGCCACGCCACATGGCGTCGTCACATTTTCACCAGACACTCTGAAGCACGCTGGCATGAGACAATGCTGCACACGCATGGAGCGGCCGGCGGTACGGTACTGAATGGCTGCAACTACTGAGTCGTCGACAATAAATCGCCTGGACGCAACGCCCACCATTCACGGTCACTTATCCAGCCTCTTAGCTTATCTGCTGCCAACACTTGGCCGATCCCTTACTGAAGGTGGGGTCCAGCATCTGCTATAACCACACGGGCGACCCCTTACTGAAGGTGGGGTCCAGCATTTGCCACCACCACATGGCCGACCCTTTACTGAAGGTGGGGTCCAGCATCTGCCACCGACACATGGCCGATCCCTTACTGAAGGTGGGGTCCAGCTTGATGCATGCGTCACAATCCTTCAGGCCCAGGTCGAAGGAGGCCAACTTTGTGTAGCACGCCGCTCGGTTGCTGTACGTCTTGGCATTGTCCGGGTTCCGCTTGATCGCCTCCGTATACGCCTTGATGGCCTCCGGGTAGTTCCCTGCGGTGGGCCAGCACGCTCGTCAATAAAATGGCGTCATGCTGGTCATGCAACGGCGAACGTCGGAGTTGACAGGAAATGATGAGTGATGTGAAGAGCGATACAAATAAAAGAAAGTCGATCGAATAACCGAAAACGACTGAACAAAAGCCCAAGGGATAACCACAACCTGAAGTTTACGGATGGCGAAATATCACCGGGAGAAGGTCTGACACAGCACATATCAACATTGAAAGATCAAAGGACACGACCGAAATGGCTATAGTTCAGCCATTCAAGCTGATAAGCATACATGCGTTGTGTAAGAAGGCATCGCGCTTCTTTGCCTACGTCAGCCAGCGAGCGCGACTGCTAGCGATCTGAACTGCATGACGTTACCGAAAGCGAAAGGGATACCTTTTTTGAAGAGTTCGTTGCCCCGCTCGCGCTCCTCCTCGGCCTTGGCCGGATCGCGGTAGGCCGCCTCCTTCTGCTCGCGCAGCTTCCGCTCCACCTCCGACAAGCGGGTCTTCACGTCGGCCGTGCGGTGCTCCGACAGCGACTTCTCGTAGAAGTTCTTCGCCTGCTGGTAGTCCTGCCGGCCGGCCACCGCACGGGCGTCAGGCGTCGGCCGGCACGCGCGCCACCCCATCAGGCCACACGTACCCACCTGACATCTCTAATGCCAGGTGGAAGGCAGACACGCCATCAAGAACAGAAATCCGTCATAAGTTGCCTGACGATGGCAAACGGACGATGACGATGACGATGACGATGACGACGACCATGACCATGACGATTGCATTGGCTTTGGTTAACGATGCGCCTTTATCACTAACAGTTCGCTTCTAGTCCTTCGCTGCGAGCTCAATCGTTACAGTGCTGGACTCGTTATCGGGGCACCTCAGTTCGAATCCCGGATATTCCCATGAGAGAATTCGGGTCGAGACGAGTAAATGACTGAGGCCCAAACATCCATAAGTCCCTCACAGGGGTCAATAACAGCTGACGACGACCGGGCAGGTAACTGACTACAACGTTGTGTGCATACTAATACACCAGACCAGGACCACAGTTCGAACGATTATTCCACCCGTGTACTAGCACCCTGTCTGATCATTCCATGGGACTGCTAAATTTCCTGGTCCGCGGAGGTTGTTTCTTAACAGTTGAATCCGCCCCAGCAATCTAGCGCGTGATCACGGGATCTTTCGCGCATCAGCTGGAGCGGAGACGGGCAGAGCACGACCCGCCGGCTGTCCGGCCGTGAGTCGGGACACACGTGCAAGGCGAGTCACAGAGGCGTGCCACGCCACAACGAGCTATTAAAATTGACCACAGCCATGGACAGAATGCATACTAAGGCTCCGGCCCACAAAGCACGACGTTTTCTGGCACAAATTTCACGGAATAAACAAACTTTTATCACCGTATGGTCTGCACTATTTGTCCGCAGCGTGACCAGAACGCACGGGGTGGCACGTCATTTGAGCAAGCCTAATCGGGGTTCGGCCGCAACAGCCACGGCCCGCTGCCCACTCACCTGCATTTTGCTGTACGCCAGCGCACAGCGGGAGAACGCCTTGGCGATAAGCTTGTAGTCGGCACGGTTCTCACGGCCCAGCTCCACGGCCTTGAGCGACGTGTCGATGCACTTTTGGTACTGGCCATCCTCCAGGTGGACGGCTGCAACAGGGCGGCACGCGTCAGCGGCCATCGGCTCGGTGCTCAGAACAGCCACGGCTGTACCGCAGCCGGCGCCCAGCCAGGCTGCCGTCTCTGCGCAGCGCGCGCCACACTGCCGTACACAGCTGCTGCCGGCGCCCAGCCAGGCTGCCGTCTCTGCGCAGCGCGTCACACTGCCGTACACGGCTGCTGCCGGCCACGGCTGTACCGCAGCCGGCGCCCAGCCAGACTGCCGCCTCTGCGCAGCGCGCGTCACACTGCCGTACACAGCTGCTGCCGGCCGTGGCTGTACCGCAGCCGGCGCCCAGCCAGACTGCCGCCTCTGCGCAGCGCGTCACACTGCCGTACACGGCTGCTGCCGGCCGCGGCTGTACCGCAGCCGGCGCCCAGCCAGACTGCCGCCTCTGCGCAACACGCGTCACACTGCCGTACACAGCTGCTGCCGGCCGCCCTCGCCATACATCAGAGCAGGCTAAAATATTGACCGCGGTGGAGGAATACGGTGGAGAAACACTAATAATCAAAAGCTTACGCCTATCCGTTTGCGACGAGTGTCACCTGCGTTCCATGCAAGAAGTAGGGAGCAACTTAGTCCAATGAATCTCAAAAGCTAGCAGCCTATTTGTCATCGAAGGGGCCCAAACTATTGGCCGGAATATCAGCTCTTTGTTGACAACATTTACATTAACGTAGTGAATGACGCGATCAGAAAGAAGTGTAATAAAAATATTTTGTAGCACTACGTCCGTCTTGGATGTAAAGGACGCGTTGCTAAAACAATATCAAAACGGCCCTATATATAATAATCTCGTTGGCGGATCCAAAAGCACGCAGTACTTCACAAGTGCACAGAGCACCGAAACGCAGTAGGGCTTTGCGCAGCACAATTTCCACCGCTTTGGCCTTAGCACAGAACTTTCAAGACAGCGTCCATCCGGGACCCAGCTTTTCATGTCGCGTCTAGCCAGTTAGCCACGCCCGGCGGCCATCCAACGACTATTTGGAGCGGACACCACCATGCACTCGTCGATTCGTCGAGAAACTTTGCCGAGCTTGCCCAGTCCCGTAATAGATAAATTTTCAGACGGTGAGATTTGCGAACTATCTTGCGATGTTCGTTGACGAACACTTCACAGCAAACCAACTTCCACGCAATGAGACTTCTGAATCAGCTCACGAGACTTACGATTACCTCGTAAACGCTCCAGTTAACCTCTGGCAACCGAACATCATACATGATGGGCGCACCAATGCATCGATCATAGCCAGTTGTAAGGGTGTCCCAAAGGTGTCTGGTTCGATCGTTAGGTTATACTATCATAACCAGTTGTAAAGGTGTCCCACAGGTGTCTGGTTCCATCGTTCGGTTATGCTATCATAACCAGTTGTAAGGGTGTCCCACAGGTGTCTGGTTCGATCGTTAGGTTATACTATCACAACCAGTTGTAAGGGTGTCCCAAAGGTGTCTGGTTCGATCGTTAGGTTATGCTATCATAACCAGTTGTAAGGGTGTCCCACAGGTGTCTGGTTCGATCGTTAGGTTATGCTATCATAACCAGTTGTAAGGGTATCCCAAAGGTGTCTGGTTCGATCGTTAGGTTATGCTGTCATAACCAGTTGTAAGGGTGTCCCAAAGGTGTCCGGTTTGATCGTTAGGTTATGCTATCATATACATGATAACCATCCATAGCCCTCGTGGCTCTGACCCCCTCGCTCAGCCCGCCATGCCGTCCTCGTGACTTGAAAACGATGCGTTATAACCATCGTACCTGCGGCATTCAGCTTGTAAGTGGCTCCAATAATAAACCTGGTGAATTCAAAGTGTTCAGCTTACATGGAATATTCCGAGTTCTTGACCACTCCACGCCCCACAATCGGAACCAGACACGCTATCTGTTAACATCACTGAATGTCACATCCAACATCAGGGAATAGAGCAAACTAACAAAAGTCATATTCATGGTATCCAGTGGTACATTTAACTGTATTACACATCTCCACATAGATAAAGACAGATAGGGATATATGTGTGTGTGCGTGTATATGTATGCACGTGCTTTGAGCTTCATGGCCACATTTTCTGGTTTGCGCTGACAGCTCAAGTGTTTCGCATTCAGCGAATGAAAAAGCTGTACAAACGTAACACCCAGTTTTCAATTTGCAACTTCTCCAGTAAGCATCTTCAAATTCTCCCTGTTCCTTTTTTGAAACGCGACAGGTTCCGCCAAACAGTTTGCGCATAATCCCATGTTCCGCAAATGTTTAAGCAGACCTGCTCTCTACATATTCCGCTACAAGCTTGCACTACTGAACATATACAAATTTTGTGACGGACTTTCGCAGAAAGCTGGCTACCCAGCAGCGGCAATGGAAGCGGAATGTCGAGAAGCTTAATCAGGAAGCCGTGAATTGAAAAATTGACGGCTACTTTTGTATGATCTATTCCATTTGCTGGACTTCAAACAAAGCTACGTAAGGGAAAAAAATGAAACCAAAAATTACCCAGCATAAAAATTTCGCTGTTTTACACTCATCAAGTGCCTCCACGAAAACTTGCTCCCCATATGCGCACGTATGGCCGTGCCACTGACCTGCTAGGTTGAGCAGGTAGGTCATGCCGGTGGGGTCCAGCTCCAGCGCCTTCTCGTAGTGCTGTATTGCCGTGTTGAAGTCCTTCTTCTTATATGCAGCATTGCCCAGCTCTTTCTGCTCCTTGGCCTGCGGTAGCGCACGCAGCGTCATTACGCCATATCGACAGCCAGTCTAACAAATGTTGAATGAAGAAACGAATTTCTTTGAATGTTTTAAACTTTTTTGAACTTCCATTCAGCGACTTTATTGAATGAAAAGCTGACGGGTGCAATAAACACAATAAACACGCTCCCATACGATAGTGCTCTGGAAAGGAGCACTGCTCGATCGACCTGGCGCTGCTCAGGGAAGGAGCGCCGCTCGACCGACCAGGCGCTGCTCAGGGAAGGAGCACTGCTCGACCGACCTGGCGCTGCTCAGGGAAGGAGCACTGTTCGACCGACCTGGCGCTGCTCCGAGAAGGAGCACCGCTCAACCGACCTGGCGCTGCTCCGGGAAGGAGCACCGCTCGACCGACCTGGCGCTGCTCGGACGATGTTTCCGCCGCCGCGCTCTCCTGCTTGTCGGGCGCCGGTCGTCCGGGCGGCGGCCGAGCCGGCTTGGCGTCGGCCGGCGGCGACTCGTCACGCATCTCGTCATCAGCGCCGGGGCCCGCCTGCAGGTCCACGCCTGCAGCAGCCCAGGCCAGGCCCAGCGTCAGCCGGCTCTCACACACAACTGGCGTCCGCATCATCAGCTCTGGCGGAGCGCACAGCCACGCTTGCAGCAGCCCAGGCCACACCCGGCTCTCACACACAACTGGCGTCCCCATCACCGGCTCTGGTGGAGCGCACAGCCACACTTGCAGCAGCCCAGGCCATGCCCAAGGTCACTGGTTCTCACACACAACTGGTGTCGCCGCCATCAGCTTTAGCGGAGCGCACAGCCACACTTACAGCAGCCCAGGCCAGGCCCAAGGTCACCGGCTCTCACACACAACTGGTGTCGCCGCCATCAGCTTTAGCGGAGCGCACGCCGACCCGTGGAGCGCCACCTCTGCAGCCGACCCGTGCCACTCCCAAAAGTCTCACCCATGAGCGCGCCGAGGGCCAGCATGATGCGCTGATCCTGCAGACAGCTGGACAACATCGTCGGGTTGGCCTGCAGCATCTTCAGCTTGGCCATGAACTCGGCGTCCTCCACCAGGTGCTTTGTCTTCGGGTTGGTGGCCAGCTTGATCATCAGCATGGGGTCTGCAAACGGGTTCGGGAACGCCCCTCCGGGTCCTGCAAACAAACGCAAAGTCAGAACTCCAAACGGTGTCCCAGGCTCGCCACCGAACAACGGTGAATATACGCGGGCAACGCTGCAGCGCAGCATGACCCAACAGAAACAGTGTGAACTCGAAGGTGTTCGACAGGTGTGAATATCTGACACTGTGGCAGGTTGCCTGCAGATACTCGGGGCTCAAAAAGCTATGCTAAGCTCCACGCGTAGAAAGTTGCGGTATGTCTTCTCGCTTAAACGGTGCGCTTGGTCAGTAATTCGCACTTCGACACCAGTCTCGTGGCGGGGATCGTCCTGAGGCCCAGTCTCGTGGCGGGGATTGTCCTGAGGCCCAGTCTCGTGGCAGGGATTGTCCTGAGGCCCAGTCTCGTGGCGGGGATTGTCCTGAGGCCCAGTCTCGTGGCAGGGATTGTCCTGAGGCCCAGTCTCGTGGCGGGGATTGTCCTGAGGTCTCGGAAACTGTCCACTGCGCATCTGATACACATGCTAGTGTGTTCACTTCCTCCCACTCCAGCTTTTGACCGATGTCTTTTGGGAGTCATGATATGGCATCCACGAAGGGAAGAAACCGCCTTTGACACCTGAAATGGCATGCTGAATCCTGGTCGCATTTCCACGGAGACAAGAGCCCAGACGACGGGAATTCTTTGTGTGTGCCACGTGGAAACACGTTACCCGGAAAGCATTACTGAAGTAATATATCGCTAACACTAATCCAAGTTATCGGCGTCCACTACGTTTGGAATACTAGAAATATTGTAGATGTCATAAAGTACCAACAAAATGGCAACCAAGTTAGAAACTCCCCCATTTGCATTCAAATTCACATGGCTAGGATACTACGCTGGGTGTAAGGGCATCTAGCATCGCTCATTAACATCAATAGGCATGTTACATCTGAAGACGCAAAACCAACCTGAACAGCTCCCACTGTTTGGACGCGATGGTGTCACCATCTGGTGGGACCTGCGATACTTACCCACTGACCTGGGCAGCCGGCCGAACCAGCTCGACCCGCGGCGCGCGGCTGATGTGGCGCGTGTCTTAGGACGGCACGCAAGCCTGGCAGGCTGACAGTGGCCAGACCCCCGCCACGCACTCCACAGGAGTACAGAACAGCCTGCCATTCACCGAAGCGTGCGGCACGTGGCACCAGCATCGATTCCAGACCAGCTGTCCCCATGACGGGTGGTGCCCTCTCCCGGGCACTCAACACTGGTGTACAGGTGGCGCGCGGTGCCCTCAAACGGACAGGCACGCCGGCCGACCGGACGCCAGCACCCCTAGCCGCGGAGGGCGCAGCGGCGACACCCTTCAGCGTGGAGTCGGCTGCCGCCGGCAGCGGAGCTGTGGGCTACATACCTGCCGACTGGCTGGCCTGCTGCGCGGCCCGGGCGTCCTGCAGGCCCTGCTGGAGCAAGCTGTTACCGGGCTCGCGCCGCAGTCCCTCCTCGTACGCCTGGATCGCCTCGGCGTGCCGCTGCAGGTACGTCAGCGCCAGGCCCTTCCTGGAGTAGCCCTGCCGAGAGGGTCCCGCCCACCCGTCACCCACCGCTGTCCGACAACGCTGCACATAACACGGTGTCCAGTGCGGACGACGACCGAACAAAAACACGGATCTGTGTGCCAGGACTTACTGATCTCGCATTGCAGTCAGTAGTTTAGGTCAGATTCATGTATGATTAACTCCACAGGTGACGGAAATGGCGTCAATGGACAATCAAGATGCCGCCACTACACGGTCGTCCTGCTCCCTGTTGTACGTCCATAGGCCCTGCACTTAAACACATCCGTTTCACCAGTGCAGTTCCAAGTGCGTCTATCCCATATTACTAAGTGGTTCCAAAGTCACGGGGAGTACCGATTGCGATAGTTATTGGGTGTCCAGGGCGGGCATCTGCAGTGGTGCGATATGCCAACAATGGGATGCTATTGGAGACTCAACAGTACTTTAGTGTTGGTTTTAATTAGTTGATTTGCTAGTTTTGTAGAGCGAGTTTCACTATTTAGGGCATTTTGCGGATTTATGTGAATGTTCTGCATTTTAAGATACTGAAGCAAGCATCAGACATGATGAAAGACGCCAACTTGTAAAATCACATCGGTTTCTTTTCGGTGCAAAAGACAGCTCTACACCACTAGTTTTCACTATTTAGTATACATGCTCCTCAATACGTCATCGTTTGGTTGCGTCGTGGCACGTCTTTACGTCGTCAGCCGCCGCCAGACTAGCCGTGTCAAAATTTCCCCTACAGTGGATGGAATGACCCACCTGTAGTACTTCCAACTTGTCAAGAGGTGGCGCTGTGTTGCTGATGCATGTTTCCAGAACCGAATATTGTCATATGCTCCTAGTGGTATTATTGCACATCTGTCCGTGATTTTATGTTGTTTACTTAACGAAATAACTTTTAGTTATTGCACTGCGCACCTTCGACCAGTCGGGCTGGTGCTCGATCGCCTTCTCGGCATCGGACAACGCCGCCTCGTACTGCTTCAGGCTGGCGTGCGCGGCCGACCGGTTACTCCAGAGCACGTGGTTGGTCGGGTCGGCCTGTATGGCCTCCGAGTAGAGCCGCACCGCCTCCTGATGGTTGCCCGCCGCCGTGGCCGCGTTGCCTTGCTTCTTCAGCTCCTCGGCCTGCGACACACAGCAGTGAAGTCTATCAGACCAGCCCGACGAAGCCCGAAGGCGAAGGCGAAGCCCCGACGAGGCAGCAGCCGGCGACGCCAGTACCACACCAACCACAGCCATCCGATGCCTCCTTAATGTAAGTCTCGTGGTAAATGGTGATGCTATGCCAACTACTGTTTGTCAATGACAAACATGTCACTCAAAAGTGGTGTAAGGGCACAGAAATGAAAAAAATTGCATAAGGCAAATGTTATTTGACAAGATAACAAAACAGTGGCAGCAACCAGAGTGTGTATCAGTTAAAAGGAAGCAAGATTTTTCTGAAACAAATCTGACATGCATTCAATGCAGATAGAGACACCATCTATATACTTTTAGGGTGGCGTGCCTCCCCAAGATGCTGACTAGAGCCTCCTTCCCTCCGCCTGCCTCTCGGAGCCCCCTCAATACATGAGGCAAGAGAGAATACAGAGGCAAATAAACACATCAATTATTTTAACTATTAATATGCTAGGTAGAAGGCACCTTACACACTACAAGTACTTGCATGTCAATTTTGCACCAAAAGCATCCTGTATGTACCTAATGTTTTTGCCCTCCTAATGCCTATATATGTAAAGCCCGCTTCCAAATGTTTTACTAGTTTTCACCTTATAATGCCTGGATTGGAATAAAGAGCAGTTGACTGCAATACACAACAGCTTATAAGAGAACAGCGCAGCCAAGGTAAAAGCTGAAGTATGTTTTCCTTCACAGTGGTATGTGATTTGTCACATAATCAGGGCTGTGGTGGATATACAACACAATCAGCAACAGTGGTAGTCTTCAGTGATTTCTTATTACGATTTACTGACATGTTTTTTTGTGAATTGCATCCCATTCTGAGCATTTAACAAAACAGCAGCTCATATTTACTAGAAATCAGAAGTCAAACTTAATCAGGAACACAATTTTAAATATACAAAATATCAAAACATTTCTTTATTGCAACATCAAGGATGCTAATTCAAGTGAACAAAATCTAGAGAAGGTTTTTTAGGGGCAGGGTGTTCAACCTTTTTGGCTAAGCCCACTTCCAAACAGTTTTAGCAAGTGACATCCCTGAATGCATGAAGCAATAGACAACGTACAGGTTGATGCAAGCAATGGTTTCTGGCCCCTGCCTGCTGAAATGCTGAAATACCAACTTACCAATCAGGCACCAGCAAACTGTATCATGCCTGTGCCTATGGCAAGACAAAACTGCAACTGCAAGACAAAATACTGCATCTACTCACTGCACATTCTCACGTGAATACCATGTCAGAATATGCATTCTATATTATTCTTTTGTTAATTTGCAGTCCCATCATAAGCTTAAGTATGGCATTCCTGAAAAATATCACTGACAGTATTTCACAAAGTTTCATGCTTACCTTTCCTTTGTCAGCCATGGCAATCACACTGTATTCTTCTTGAGTATCACAAATATGCAGCAGAAGTTGAACCACCAGATATCAGCATCCAAATATCAGGTGTCTGTATTCAGCTCCAGGCCACTACTCTGTAAAAGAGAACAGTCATTGATCATATGCCAACTTCTTCCAAACAGGAACTGTAGGGTGTTCCAAAATCATCTTTTGTGGGGGAAAAGTATAGGTGCTCAGGACTAGTCTGGTTCTCTGGTTCAAGGCAAGTTCAGTGGAATCTGTAAACAAATCAATGATCAGCTTTATGTTTTGATGACGTCCTTTGTACTGTGAATGCTGTTGCAGGTGTGAAATTATCATTAGTTCACTTTGAAGAGTAACATAAAAAATTTAACAGTGGCTGATTCCATGACACTGATTATCATTGGTGCTGCATGATTTTTAAATCAGTCATTGCACAGATTAATTCTGACAGGTTGGTCAATATTTAAATGGTGTCAGACCTGGCCTATTCAAGGTCAATTGGATAGACATGGCACAGGAAAAAATGGTCAATGTCCATGTCATGTTGTGCCAGCTATTTCTATTCTATTTTTAATGTCTTCAAAAATGTGGATGTAATTGCCGACCTTTAGTACTGTTAATGGATTGACTGGGACATTTAAGCATGTTCCCATTTCTACAACCCAATTGAGCAATATGATATGACCAAAAATCATAATAACCCATATGGCATCTGCAAATATATGCAAAATATACATATTAGCTTGTGAGTAAAGGCCGAAACAGACCTGATGTCCTTGGTAAGTTACAGAACTTTAACACAAATATTGCCTCTGGAATGCACATAATACAAAAAACTTCCCATTTCATCACTGAATAACATTTTACTTTAAGCACAAATGATCCATCGCATGCATCAAATGCACAGCCATGTCACAGATCATTATATGCAATGTCTGGAGTCAAAAACAGTTTTAATCATTAGGACTGCTCACACTCATAAATTACTGAGCTGCATGCATAGCTACAAAATAACTGAACACATTCATAGAAGCCCCGTTCCAAAATGGAATATAAATCGAAGTTAATTCACGGCCAACTTGCCAGTGTGACGAGAGCATCCCCCGGACCCCATCCTGTTGATAAGCGTCTACGCGGGAATCAAGACCTGCTCAAATGCAATTACCTGTTTCGACTTTTTCTAGCACTACAGATGAAGATGGCGTGCTCCCAAATTACCACACCAGCTCCCTTCGCGCCCACGCCAGCACCCCACAGCCGATGTAACCACGCAGCACAACTAACGCGAGGAAATGTGTGCCGAATGTCTACACAGCGCAGATTTGCAGTTCGGTTTTAGCCCAGAAGTCTCTGGAACAAACGGCAGGCGGTTCGTAGTTACTCAGCGGCTTGCTGACATTTTTAGAAAGAGTTAGTGTGACGTCACTGGGGACAGCTTTTTACGGCTCTGAAAGAGTGATAACTGCGTGAGCGCGTGCAGTAGCGCAGGCAGAGGTGGTGGGCAGACGGGGGGAGGGGGGGGGGGGGGGGCGGGGGGGGGGGCGGAGCACAGGAGGCACGTGCCCCCTTAGGCTCCGTCCGGCCGGAGGTCGCATTCAGGGGTCGGGCCTGCAGGGCCGGGCACTCCAATGCCAGCCAGAGGTCCCTGCGCCGATCAAGGGCCCCTGAGTAGATAGGGCCTATATGTCGGTCAGATACCGCGCCTTTCGGTCAGCCACGGAGCCTTTTGTGCGCCAGTGACGCACAAGAGGCTCCGTCGCTGCATGAGCCTAAGGGTCCATTTCCAAACCAGGGACAAAGCCAGAGCCAGCAATTTACGTTAGTCGGGACCCCAAGCCGCCTAACGGGGCCCCGTGCTGTCAGTGGGCCACAAGTCGGCCAGAGGCATTCTTCAAGGAAGGTCAAAGAGCATGGGGGGGAGCACTGGGTCCGACAATCAAGGCCTTGACTGGACGATCTAGGAGCACGAAGAGCTGAAGGGGCCCAGACCTGCGGGCACGGGCCCTCAAATGGCAGTCCGAGGGCCCTTTGCACCTATCAGAAACGCCCTGAGTCTATATGGGTCTATGTGTCGGTCAGACATGTCTACAACCACACAGTCCCCTACATATTGGTATGAGCCTCTGGGCCCATTCCCAATCACCCACAAAGCCGATGACTGTTTCGCACTGGTCGGGCCGTGTATCTGTAAGGGGTCCACAGCGCCTAACGGAGGTCCTGTTCTTGCAAGCGGCTCCGAGCCAATCAAGAGCAGTGTTCGATGAGGTCCGAAGGGCAGGGGGGGGGGGGGCGGGCTCGGCCGGCCCAACGGAACCGACTTTCAAAGACCCGGTTGGAGGGCATGAAGGCCCGAAGGACTGGCTGCAGGTCACCTTAAGACTCACGGCCGGCAGGCTCGGGGCCTGAAATATCAGTCAGAAGTCCTATGGCACCTATGAGTCCGCGATTTGCAACAATCGGGGTGCCTGACACAATGGGAGGCTTCGGTGTCGGCCAGGGGCCATAGTGGCTAACGGTGGTCTTGTGGCGGCAAGCGGTCCCGAGTCGGTCACGAAACGCGTTTGAGGGGGCCGACGGAGGGGGGGGGGGGCGAAGGGTCTTTCGAGACCCAAAAACATGGAAGGCTGATGGGCCCGAAGGGCTGACTGTAGGTCAAATTGAGGACCCCCGCCTGTAGGGACGTGGTTTCAAATTGCAGTTAGAGAGCCCGTGGCACCGATTTGGGACACCTAAGACAGAGCGTTCCTCTGTTTCGGCCAGAGATCATCAACACCGAACAGTCGGCTCCGTGTTGGTCTGAGCCCCGGAGGCCTTTTTGCCAAGCAGGAACAAAGCCGGACCCGCGCGGGGCTCCTGCAGCAACGCTGTATCCTGTATTGTTCAGGTGTCCATACTGTCTAGCATGGTATTCTGTGTCAACAACGGGTCTTGGGCCGGTCAGGAGAAGATTGGCTCAACAGGGACGGGGCGGAGCCGGAATGACAGAGGACCTCTTGCGTTGGTCGGACCCTCTAACAAGGAAAGGAAACACGAGAGCTTATGATAATGGCTCACATTGAGACAATGGAAGGGTCCTGTCCCAGTCAGGGCCCCATTACCGAACGGTGAGCCCTCCAGCCCAATTCCAGTATGGGTTCGTAAGCCGAACTGGAGTCTATGTGCCAATCATTAAACCACCTGTGAGTGGCGATCAGGATCTTGTTGCTGCAATAAGAGTCCCTGCGTCGATTTGCGTTCCTCTAAGGGCTTCCTTATCGGCCAGGGGATCCGGCCACGTGTCGCCAGAACAACAGCCGGAAGACATCCCGCGGTGCGACAGGATAACCTTTCAGCCCTTGACCGGGAACAATAACGTGTCCCCTGGTGTTCTACTCAACGGGGCCCCTTTCCCGATAAGAGACGAGGCGTGTCATTTGGAATAGAGTGGGCCAAAATATGCTCAGAAACGAACCAGGCCAGCCCATATTTGCCTGAGAACATACATTATTTTGCAGGATCAACTATTTAAACAAATAAGAGCTTCCGTGAGCCGAACAGCTGTGGCCGCTCACTGCAAGTAACATCGGGCGGCGAGTGCCGTACGTCCGAAAGCGGCCATCGTGGAATAATGCTCCCGAATAGAGGTATCTTTTTGCAACGTCGAGTCTGCCCTCTTGACGGATTAACAGCTAGAACAACACGACAAATAGATTATGCGTTCATCCCTCCAGTTCAACCATCACATTCCAGCACCACTTCGCAGTGCTGAAAAGACTGCGTGTTTAAAGGCTCCGTTAAATTCACCAATCTAAAAATCACACTATGAAATACGCACCCGGCTTTCTTTTAAATGTATGGTCTGATGTACTAAAGTGTTCAGAGATTCGGGCACGGCATAACATTAGCCGGAGGCGTGTAAGCAACACTGCACGGCCCGTGTGAGACTGCAACGCCTGGCATGGAGGCTCTTATTGGAAAGATTTGCGAGCGCAAATGCTCAAACCTACATTGGATGATTTGTATCACTTATCAATTCTGACCGAATGTTGGATATTTCCAGACAAACATGGCTTGGCCACGTTAATGTAAACTGTTGACCCATTTCGATCTACATTTGCGGGTACTGAATATCTCTGAACTGCCTAGACAAAGATTCTGACAAATCTTCTGAGTTATATCGCTTCGAAAAGAGTCCATTTTGCTACTGTAAAATGAAGAACGCCGGTGATTTCTTTCATGCAGTCGTTTAACGCATATTTTTCGGTTGATTGGCCATAGAATTCAAACGGAATTGATTTCGCGGTAGCTTCTGCTTCTTTTCCAGTTGCAGAAGCTAAAAATGAAAGTTGACATTTGACAAGGATGAAAGAAAAACATCTTTCAATAAGAAATGACCCATATACGGGGACTTTTTGAGAGGCGCCCTTTCACTATCAGGGGGCCGCTTGTCAACTCAGTGTTCCCCCCTTGCCAAGGCTCTGGCCGCGCGCCTGGACACAGGGATGCACCAGCAGGGGCGGCGCAGCAAGGGCGAGGGGGGGGGGGGGCAAGGAGGGCAGTGGCCCCCGCTACCGGCAGGCAGGGGAAAGGTGTATACTTGTCCCCTCAGAGTTGTCAGGACGTCCTTTTTCCTTAATACAGTCTTTGCAGCTTCCCGTAGAGTGCACAAACTCCGATCAAGGAGGTCCCATAACTGCTCCAGAGGTTAAAAACCGGGTTCAGAAGACCATTTCCCACATCAAGAGGCCATTTTTCTGGATCGTAAGGCCACCTTCAGGAATCAGATAGATCATGGTCTAGATCAGCAGACCAATAGGCCCTTGGGTGCCTCGGGAGACCCCCGTTACGATCTAGGAAACCCCTGTTTTGAGTAAGGCGACACCCTCTATTTTCAGGAAGCCCATTTCTGCAACGTAAGGCCCCTTCATCCACCAGGTGGACGCGGCTCGGGATCAAAATGCCCTGTTTAGGAATAATTAGACCCCTTGGCTAGATTAAGAACCCCTCCGTGAATTGGAAGCATCCTGGTCTTCATCAGGAGGCCCATCCTTGCATCATGAGGTCATCTGCGGGAACCGGAGACACCGTTTTAGGAAAGCGAGACCCTATGCTGAACAATCAGAAACCCCCTAGCTTGGATATCATTTGAATATGATACATATAACAATTTGATAGGAGGGCACGTGTCCTCGTGCCCTTGCCTTTTGATGCGACACTACCCAGAAGGCCAACCTTACAAGAAGGCTTAATTTTGTCCAGGAAGCCGCCAGCAAAATCCTGCCCCCCCAACTCAAAATTCGTCGCGCCTCCCCTGTTCTCCAGAGCCTGTTTTAACCCGTTAACTGGGGTTGGGGAAGTTATCCGAACAGTAACCTCAAATCTCTCCCGTAGACCGCGAAATACCTCCCACCCACACCAGTGAAAACTTTAATTGGCCGGCAGCTCACATGCGACAAGGTTTTTGAAGTTTGGCAGATACTGGAGTTGCGGTTAATTCATGCATTCTGTGCAGGTCCAAGCCTTCTATGGTGGGACAGCTGTTCTCAGCTAAGAAGAGAAGAACAACAAAAAAATGAGCGAGAAACCGCTTTTGAATCGTTAGGCAGGTCTGTGCAGTTAGGCCCGGCAGAACGGGTCGGATCGATAAACAGACCCGCAGGGCTTCTGGCGTCAGTAAAATAATATCTCATGTGCTCGATTCAATTTCTTACTTGTCTACGTCTGTCAGTTGGCATTTGATTGGTGTAGATGTGTGCCGAAAGTTGGACAAGGATATGACCAACAGGTGCTCTTCGTGCTTTTGACAGTTTTGTTGAAATCAGTTGTGGTTAGTTCAATTTCGTGAACAGCTACGACCGCAAGCAAGATAAGACGGACCACGTAAAAGTGCAACGTATCCATCTAGAGAGATAAGGCAAAATGTACTGCTCCAAATACTATGTGAGCGTGAGATTCATTTGCAAGCGGGATCTGTCGTATCGCTCTGAGATTTGTCGGAATCGGGTCAAGTGCTTCCGGTGACAACGAATCCACTGAGAGGGTTTGGAGGCAGATGTAATTTGTCTTTCGGTTCTTTCCATGAAACGCCATCATGCTTATGCCAGATTTTGTTGATCTAGGATGCAACTGGTCACGCTTACAACATTCATTTGACACGCAATAGGGTCAATTTGAACCCCAAAAATTTCCGGAGTGATTTCCGAGTGGCACGGTGTAGCCGCGTCAAATTTTGATAACTGCAGAAAATTAAATGGCAGATGTTTTGCTCTAACACAGTTAGATGTGCCTTGTATGGTCGCTGACCCACGGCAAGTCAAAATCAGGCCATAGATTCAGC